ACCTGTCAGGGGACCTCTGACCTTGTTCCTCAGAGTCCAGATTTTAACTCAGTCCAGATTTGTACAGGGTCAAGGTGAACACCTGCCAAAACTTGAAGGAAATTTAGAACAGAGGAGCCAGTTAGAAATATCTCTCCAGGAGGGAATGGCCTTCTAGGCCCTGTTCATGTTCTCAGGTTCCCATGGAGGCTCAGAGAGCAACAAATTGGATTGCCTGAAGAGCCATGAAGGTAGCAACCAGTACCTCAGCTTCAGTGTCCAGAGCAGACATTAGATGTATTATGTATTGCCAGAGTGGCAGGTGTACACACAGCCAGTGATGTAAGTCGTCTCGGCACACCTTGTAAGATGTGAGCAAAGAAAAGGCCAGAGAAAGAAGAATCAACAAAATCCATGTTTTTTTTTGTTTTTTTTTTTTTTAAGTCAAGCACATATTGCTACCTGCTGTGGACGCATATTTTGTATAGGAGGATGTGGGATGGCTCAGGAAATGGAGGCCCCAGCTGCAGAGCCTGAGCTCTTAGGGAGAAGGAGAGCCTAGACAACTCCATTGTCCTCTGATCTCCCAAAGTACACCATAGCCTGTGTGCAATTAATTAATTAATCAAACAAAAATTGTAATTAATTAAGGTTTAATTAATTAAACCAAAATAATGAATTAAACAAATGTAGATGTGTGTGTGACTGATGGTCGACTGACTGAACTCTTTTGAGATGGAGGTCACACCCTGTAGCCCAGACTCTTTGCCTAAAGGTCACTGTATCGCCCTGGATGCCTTCAGATTCATAGCACCCCCTTCCTCAACCCCCCCTGTGCTGAGATGACAGGCAGGCACCCCTGAAAGTGACCCTTTAAGAGACAGGCACCTGGGGTTTCGGTCACGTGATAGTCTCTGCTCTCCACCCCATTTTCCCATTTTCAATTTAGAAAAGGAACAAAGCTCTCCATCCTCCCGGTGTGGGTGGCACAGAGAGTTAGTCTCTGCCAGAGCTTTGCAGATGAGTGACCCTTGACCCTCCCCCTTCCCCACTTTAGCTAAAGAGAGGAAACAGGCCCTGTTTCCCTCCAGAGCACAGGAAGCCTCACCGTTCCCAAGGTCTCAGGAAAAACAGAGGAAACTCAGCTAAGCTTCCCCTTGCCTTGAGGAAAAGAATCATGCCTCATCTCCTTTTCCACTGGAACATCCATTACTTTCTCCTTCAGGCTGAAGCCCTCTGCAGCCATCTTCTCCCACACCTTACGGAAGCCTCCTTGGCCCACACTGAATTTAAACATTAGAACAAATGCTGTGATTGACAGCTGCAACCAAAGCAACTTAAGAGAGCAATGGTTTATTTAGGCTCATAGTTTGAGGGCATGACCCATGATGATACAGGAACATGAGGCGGCTGATGGTCACGTGGTGTGTCCACGGTCATGAAGCAGGGAGGAGATGTACGCAGTCATCTGGATTTCTCCTTTGAACCTTTGTGTTTAGTTTTGGATTGCAGCTGGTTGAATGGTGTTTCCCACATTCAGAGTAGGGTGCTGTCCCCTCCCTGAACCTTAGGGACATACCCAGAGATGTGTCTCCTCGGGACTCTGCTCTGCGTCCAGTCAAGGTGGGAATGAAGCTGAGGCATCACAAATGACTTTAAGGGTGAGCTTGCAGTGTAATAAACTAGCCCTCCTTAATAACTGAATCACAGAAGTGTTTTCTTGGTTCTTTGGGCCTGTTGGCCACAAGATGGACAGTGGGCTGGAGTCATCCTGACATTTTCTTCTCTTTGGTGCAATGTTTTGACCTGTCACTTCTGAGCATGGGTATGAGGATTTCGGCCTCTGGAGCACTCTCAGAAGTGTTCCCTGGGAAGGAGAAAGCTAGGAAGCCTTCTGACAAGACAAAGGCGCTTCATCGGGCACCATCATGCTGGACAGCTCTGAACACTCTTCCTACCTCTCAGGAAGGACTTCCCAAGCACCTAGGGGTGGAGTGACAGTCTTCAGATGGTACAGCTGAGCAGGCAGAAGCCAAAAGGGAAAGAAGATCTTTCTGGTCTGATGGCTTGGGCTAGCCTTGCCAGAAGTGGGAGCTCACATAAAGACTGGGGGTGGGGCATTATTTATCAAGGAGCAGGTCTCGTGGGAAGGGAGGACAGGACGAGAAGCAGGAACAGGCAGGGAAGAGGAGCCCAGAAGCAGCTTTAACTTATCATTCACAAAAAGCCTGACCCCGTCCTTGGCTCACAGACTGTCTTAGAGCGGCTCTCAGAGGCAAGAAAGGATTGGGTTAGTCAGAGTCAGCACGCATGTTGCCTTGCGATGTGGCCGCCTGGTAGGTGGGCGTCAGGGCCAGGCGTCTCCAAGTGGGGGTAGTTCCATCAGCCCAGTGTGATTCTACAGAGATAGGGGAAGGAGGGAGGCTGTGGGCAACATTTGAGCTGGTCTAGAGCTCTTGGCTTGGTAAAGGGTGTCTAGTTGGGCAAGAAACACAGCAGCAACAGCACCTAAACAGAAATGGAGAGTCTGTGGCTCAGCACAGTATCCAATGAGCAGCTTCTGTTGCACACAAATCCCACACTATCTTGTCCTTTCTCTCTCGGTATAGCGCAACAAGGAAATATTCTCTTTGGTTGGATTGGACCAAAAGATAACCCTGAAAGGGAAGATGACAGCCTCTTAGGCCACTCCAATCAGTCTGTAGGAAGAAGATGGAGTCTTATCTGGAGCTGGCTCTGACTCTACAGGCTTCAGCTTTTGCTTGAAATCACTTCAGTTTGGATTCACTGGGTACCTGCTGCATATAAGGCAAAACTGAAAGTGCCAAGCAGAGAAAGGAATGAAAAAAAAATTCCACCTCAGTCTTGAGCCTCAGAATTAGCGTTTGATGGAGGACAGGGAATGGGAGAAAGAAGTGGCGTGTGTGCCCCCCAAGTCAGAGCTCAGAATTTACCCTTAGACCAGTGTAGATGAATCATTTGGATGCTGGAAGTACAAAGTGGACAGAGGGAGCTTGTGTTTGTCTCACTGTCACAAAGGCAATCGTGTTCAAAAGACAGTAAGAGAAAAGTAAGGGTCTATGAAAAGTTAGCTACAGGAAGCACCCTGAGGGGGGTATTGATAACAAGAAAGGAGAACATAAGTTAGAAAGAAAGGTGAGGGCGCTAGGAAGAACTGGAGGTTGGTGGTGGTGAATATGATCAAAAGAGCGTGTAAGTAAATGAAAGTTTCAAAGAATAAATAAGAATATTATTTTTAAAAATCAGCCAGAAAACAAAACGATAAGATAAGATCCCCCAAAAGCTTCTCTACTGGGGTGAGGCTGTGAAACATAAGTGCACTTCTGAGAACATGAAAGAGCAAACAAAGAAAACAGGCTCTCCGTCTTTTAAATTTCATGCTACGGAGAAAGCATCTCCAATTCTTAGAACAGAAGGCAATGACTGAAATTTTTACTCATTAAGGAAAATTATCTTGAAGTTAGAGGCCAAAGATCCTGAATATTTTGGAGAAAAATGCAAGATGTAGCCTAGCCTTTCCCTTTAGTTCTTTCATGGTTTATCACTAGGCTGTTCTCTCCTCTCTCTCTCTCTCTCTCTCTCTCTCTCTCTCTCTCTCTCTCTCCTTCATGGTGTTCTTAGGGATTGAACTTGAGCTCAGGGCCTTGTGCATGCTAGGCAAGTACTCTACCACTGAGCTACAGTCCCGGTCCCCAGAACTTTCTCCTTGTCCCCAGCTGAAAGTCTCTGCTGATAATAAACACTGAGCCCACATTTCCATTCCCTCTTCCCTAACACCCATCTCCTAACCTCCAGACATGCACCGTTCTCTCTTCTTCTCTGTGAATTTGGCTCTAAGGAGATTCAGCCCTCCTTCCTGCTGCCAGAATATAATACTCGAGGCAGGGCTGTTATTTTTTCCTTTTGGCTTATGGTTCTGGAGACAAGGAAATCCAGCAGTGTGGCCTGGTGCTCTGCTCGTTTTGTTTGTCCTCTTATATTCAGGGCCTGGCTGTGTATCCCAGGCAGGTCCTGACCATTCCTCATGCCTCAGCTTCCCAAGTGTTGACTAGTACCTTGAGCCACCACAGCAGCCCTAAACTGGTTGTGCTAGCAGCCCCACTCTCAGAACAGCCCATTGAGACATCAGTCTAAATCCATGAAAAGATTTATTAAAGAAGAGTTTCTTTCAGCTGAGTAGGAAGGTCCCACCTGGTTCTGCCTCTGGGTGCCTCATGATGGTGGGTAGGCTCCTGTGTGAGTTCTGGTGGAGACATTACATGGAACTGCATCATATTCGTCCTTTAGTATCTTATTTCCTTTAGTAGTGTCCTCAGGAACTGTCAAGGTTGTATCATCTTTCATAATTTCGTGCCTTTGTAGGTCTAATGTCCTCATAAAGTTTAACACCATTTATTGGATTTGTTTGTATATTCTGGACCTGTGGAGGACTGGAAGGTTTGTCATATGTATGGCTTTTTAAAAGATTTGTTTATTTTTAATTACTTTTGTCTGTGTATGGATGTGTGCATGAGTGCAGTGCCTGCAAAGGCCAGAAGAGGGTGTCAGGTCTCCTGGAGCTGACATGAAAAGTAATTGTGAGCATCCAGCTTGGGTGCTGGGAACCAAACCCTGGTCCTCCCTGCAAGCACACACACTTATCTGCAAGCCCATGATACGTATATAACCCGTTTCCCTCCTTAGAAACAATATTCTCTCTCCAACTGAGTGTGCCCGCATTGATGGAAAAGCCGGTCCATGGCCCCTGTTCTGTAGTTACCAGCCATTAGTGTAAAGCCTAGAAGCACTGAACAGTCCTCAGTGGAATATTTCCGAGCATCTTCCCAGCATCACCCCTTCCTTCTTATTTTAATCCACCACCGTTAACAGTGCTCTAGCAATGACAGGTTCATTCTGCCGTTCGGTACCTCATACTACCCCGCCAGGTGCTCACCAAGGACACTGCTCTCACCCACGTGCCCGATGCTCAACTGACCTGTGTCTGCCTCTTTTCCTCACAGAAGTGAAAGAGTATGAACCCCCGTTTGGTTCCAAGGTGCGGGAGCACCCCTGTGTGGAGAGCATGAAGGACAATGTCCTGAGGGACCGAGGACGGCCAGAAATCCCCAGCTTCTGGCTCAACCACCAGGTAAGGAGTGCTGGCTCTGAAGAGGGAAAAGGTGCAGAAGAGGCTGCTCACAGGTGGCGGAGAATTATGGGAGATTGAGCTGAACTCTGAGGGCAGGACCCTTGGTTCTTTGTAACTCTGTTAGGTTTGTATTCGTCAGGAAAATTTCAGTAGAAGTGGGTGAGCCTGCCCTCCTGAGCTGCATTCACCAGGCTTATATGGCATTCACAGAGAGTTCTCAGCTAACCACTGCAGGGTGCCAGCCATGTTTCCGGAGCCCTCTTGATTCAGGGTTAAGATGTTTTGCTAGCTCTGTCTGCTGCCCACTCCCATACCTTCATGTCAGGAGCCTATATCTCATTCCCTCTGGGCGCTGACTTTGTTCCTCAGGAGTACTTCAAGTTCAGAAAGTAATCTTTGGAAGCAAGAAGGGTTGTCAGGTAGCTGGTGTACTCAGTTCTGCTGGGTGTGCATGGAGGAGAGGGGAGCTGGGTACCAGCATGCCTGGGAAGGAAGAGTCCATTTCACCACTGTGGAGGGCCGGAAGCCAATGAGGAGGAGCTGGTGAGGGAGGGAGGGGCCTGTCTGTTGAGTGACATCACAGTGAGCTGTCATTTACTGACAAGAACAGGAAGTTAAGGCTGCTCTCATAGCAGAGGATGGAGGAGAGGGGAAGACAGGGTAGTTTGTGAGTGAGAGATGGTCGGCCACATGTTGATACATCCAAGAATGGGCCGCGGTGAAGAAAGAGCCAGAACAATGTTTTCCTCTCTCTGTGGCAAAACGGTTCTATTACATCCAGCAAAGCCCGTTACTGCTTTCTTGGATGAAGCCCTTCGTCTTTGCAGGCCATGGCTGTATAGGTCTGCCTAAAGGCAAGGAGAAATCAAGCGAGATCCAGAGACAGCAAGCCAGACACAATCAGGGAGACAAATGGGACAAGAAGCCTGCTCAGAGCAGCCTTGGCCCAGAGCCAACCCTGTGACCAGGGAGTAGGTGAGCCAGTCTTCCCAGGGTCAAGGTCCTCACGGGAGTCTCAGACAAATTGTCTTTGGTGGTAAAAATGCAAGGCTGTTTGTAGAAAATCAGGAATTAGAAGGTGCTGAAGTAATCTGTCCCATTGAAACTGTCACCATCTCCTCAGGTTGTTCCTATAAAGTTTTTGTAATGAAGCCATTATTCATTATGATAAAATTCTGGAAAGAATTTGCATAATACATTTTTTTCCTCTTAATGAGATTTGTTGCCCTATTGATTTCAAGGTAATGCTTAATATTTAATTTAATTTACTGCCTGTAATTACTGCACCAGAACAAAATAAATGTTTCTGGTATGGCAACAATTACAGTCTGCTCTTAACAGGGCCGTCAATCAATACCACCAGTTAGGCGAATCATGCAGTTAATTCCACATCAAGAGGTGGGGCCAGGGGCACTCCTCAGATGTGAAAGTTGCTGGTATTGGCAGGCAAATGCCAACTCTACAAGAAGAGGATTAGATGTGTCTGTGCCACACTTACAGAGCTTGCCGGGGCACTGTTGACCTCTACATAAAAGGAGCTGAACTTATTTCCACCTCTCACGCTATTTGCTCACCTTCTACTTTTCTGAAAGGACTTAAAATAGTTACAAAAATATTCTTGATGCAAAATGAAATCTGGCTGTGACAGCGCACTTTGCTGTTTTGGATAGCCTTCCATGCATGGAGGTGAGGTTCATGGGGGCCACTGTCTGGAGGAGGAGAGTGAAGGGAATATCTTACAGTTAGGCATATTTACCATAGGAAAACAGCCATGCCTCGGGGCCTGGCTTAATGTCAATAGAGATGACCGGGGCATCTGGGGTCCCCCGAGGCAGTTCTGGAAGCAGCCTGTGAGTCATGCTGTCAAATAAGGGCTTTACTAAGGGAATCTGGGTTACTTCCTATCCAGCCCTGGGCTTGGGTGTCCAGCTCTGTTCAAACAGAAGGGTACCTATGACCCAGCCATGAAACAGTCTGAAAGAGTAAAACACCAGAGGCCATGGAGGAGAAGGGAAAGAGAGAACGGAGCTGCAGGTGGGAAGCTGGAGTCTTTGAGACCCTGTACTGGATAGGTGCGTTACAGTCTGTACTGTAACAAATGAGTGCCGCCAAGAATGGACCCTAGGCACTGGAGAGATGGCACCCTCAGTGAAGGGTTTGCACAGTAGTGTGAGGACTTGAGTTTGGGTCCCCAGGACCACTATCAAAAGCTGAGTTGTGGGGGTGGGTACTTGAAAGACTAGCACAGAGGAAGAGGAGGCAGAGGGTCCCAAATCAGAGAGAAAGTTTGTCTCAAAAAAACAAGGTGGGAAGTTGCTGAGAAGACAGCTGACGCTAACGTTTGGCCCACACCTGCACACACGTGGGCCCACAGAAAGAGGAAACCCTATTCTGAACTGTGGACTTTGCTAATGACGCATTGATACTAATTCCATGGAGACCACTGACTAACTATGCCCTTGGGACCCCTCCCTTCCTCTGCAGGGCATCCAGATTGTGTGTGAGACGCTGACCGAGTGCTGGGACCATGACCCTGAGGCCCGCCTCACAGCCCAGTGTGTGGCTGAGCGCTTCAGTGAGCTGGAGCACCCAGATAGGCTCTCTGGGAGGAGCTGCTCCCAGGAGAAGATTCCAGAAGATGGCTCCCTGAACACTACCAAATAGCTTTTTCCGGGCAGACGGGGCCAAGCCTCTAGAAGCTGTCCTCAAAACCAAAGACCAGAGGCACCAGAATGCTTTTCTGACTGATGCTTCTCCAAAACCAAGGACTTGCTCCATTCTTCCCCAGTAGCTGTTCCATGTTCAGAAACAGCAGCAGCAGCAGCAGCAGCAGCAGCAGCAGCAGCAGCAGCAGCA